TTCACTTACCTTGGGCATATAAAGAATCTTTACCCTTTTTGTATTGAGATACTTTATGAGGGGTGTGTTTTCTGCAACTCTTACCCTTGCAAAAGGTATTTCTGGTCTTTGGAACGTTGACCTATGCAACATAAAATTCAAGTTAAGTTTCAATTCAGGCGATAAATGATATTTCAAACAACAAACCATTTTGAATGACGACCAAACCAGAAGAAAAAGGAATTCCTTTACCATTACTACGAATGGTTTAAAAAAAAAAAAAAAAAAAAAAAAAAAAATCAATCATGTGACAATAGATTTCGTATTAAAACTCGCGTGACTTTCCAAATTTTACACATTCCAAAATCGAACCTGAAAAATGAATGTTTCTAAAGTTCAGAAACCAGAAGCTAATGAAAGTAACCGACCTCCTGTCATCCTCGGATCCGGGGTAGCCAATGAGATTTGCAAAAAAGTTGGCGCATTTTTAGCAAGAGAGGCAGGCTTTACGAGCGTGACTCCTTCCGCATACGAGACTTTAGGAAATTTGACGGAATTATGTATGCACGATATACTGTAGGGCTGTTGAATTCAAGTGCACGTCCAGTAAATTGTATATTTGACGATTGGTTTTGAATTCTCAGTCCTCAGCAATTTAGTTCAAGCCTCGCAGAGTTATGCTGAACTTGCTCGTCGAGCGCAACCAAATCTTAATGACATAGAAAAAAGCCTGAAAGATCGAAACCTCCGAACTGGTGTATTAGAAGGTTTCATGGAGAAAATTCGAGGTATCAACGGGTATTTCGTTCGAGCTTGAACGTTGGCAAGATTGCTACGGGATTAATGTCGTCATTCACAAAAATAACGTGCGAAATATACAGGAAAAGAGAATTATCACGATGTTGCTTCAAAGTTATCATCGTCTTTGAGGCCAACACCGTCTACAATAAAACCAGAATCACTAATATTTGTTCCGGAAGACATAGTAGAAAGCGAGGGAGAGTTCGACGAAACAAAAAATAAGCGCCAAAAAAAATCATTGAGTTATACTGCCCGTCCAAGTTACGTCCCATCGTACTTGCCACCTTTTCCAAGTAAACATTCTTACAAAAAGACACCGGTAAATTAAAAATATTACAGTTTGTGATTTTGTTTTTCCTCATTGCGATACTGTATTAATGCTTCGGTTATACAAGGTGTATCAAAAACGTCACGATAGTGATCCAATACAACTTCGCGAACTGAGTTTGGTTCAGGTGAAATTAGTAGAAAAAAGTCTACAAAAACTAACTCGTCATAATGATGACCGAATTTTGACTCATTCGAACATTCCGGATTCTCCATCGACTTCCGCGACAGTCGTGTCTGCTAACTCTTCACCTACAGCCAATGATTCATCTATGCCCCCGTCGATTTTAAATTTTAATTCTACAATTTTGCATACAGGCGCTAATCAGAAACTTAAACGTGATGTGAAGATCGACAATTTGACACCATCTGAAGATTTAGTTCAGAGTGAAGATAAAAAGAAGCGTAGGAAGATTCAGGTGTCTTGGGCCGAATTATGTACGGGAAAATGAGACTCATGTACATAAACCCGAAGGTAATTTGCAGCTCGTGAATATGATCGCGTCATATTGAGAATGTTGAGGCTGAAAATAAATCAATCCTTGTTTGTAAGGATTTTTATTTTTTTCAAGAAATTCTAATGCTATAAATAACATTAATCATAAGAATATGATAACAATTATTAATAATAGTATAATAATAAAAAATCAATTAATTAATGAATCTTTGTCAATTTTTGTCAAGGCAATTGATAAATTATTTCGTTTTATACTAATGATTGTATAAATATTCGGCATTTAATATTTAGACTAAGCTGCCCAAAATGTTGAAATGTACAGTATTTTTTGTTTTTTTTTTTATGCATTAACTTTGTCATAAATTTTTAAGAGATCTGAAAATATGCCGAAAGCTGTAACGCCAGCTCCCGCTCCAGCACCTTGAATTATTAAAGGGTTAGGAAATCTTTGTGTAGTAAATGCGATAATATTATCGCTTCCTTTAAGCGAAGCGAACGGATGAGACACTGGCAAACTGTGATATTATTGACATATTAGGTTTAAGATAATCGAAATAATTGTGACGACGAAAACAACCGAATTCTTCGTATTACCTGACTAATTTTACACATTTTTCATTATTAACCGGATCAATGATGCCGATATACCTTAAAACTTGATTGCTATTTTTTGCAGTTTGATCCAAGTTATCAAAATGATGATCGAATTCAGGCAAACGTTCCATGAATTCTGAGGATGATGGTAGGGTGCGTAATGACTCAGGTACGATGTTTTCCACCGGTAACGTTTCAAGATCCAAATCGAATCCAGCAATTCTACCAAGAATAACAACCTAAATAATATTGGGTTAGAAGCATAATCTGGGACGGTATTTTCTTTTTCTTTAGATAAAGGTTAGCAAATCCTCTTACTTTGCGAGCAACATCCAATCCGTTCAAGTCATCGCGTGGATCGGGCTCCTGAAGTCAGGATCGGGTTAGGTTAAGCATCAAAAGGAAGTCGTGTAATCACAGGATCCAATTATTTACAGTAATTTACCGTATAGCCATTTTCCTGGGCAACTTTAACAATTTCCGAAAACTTTCTTTTTGTGTTACCGCTCAACGAAGAAAACTCATTAAAGATATAGCTTAAAGTTCCTGAAAAGATTCCTTCGATCTTCACTATTTTATCACCAGTTTTAATTAAATCATTTAAAGTATTAATGACTGGTAATCCAGCACCAACTGTGCTTTCGTGTAACAAGGATCTTTTGTTTTTCTCCGCCTCTTCAACTATTTTCTTATAATATTCTATGTCACCGCTAAACGCTTTTTTATTGGGCGTTACTACGTGCAACCCCTTCCTTAGAAATAACGAATATTGCGACGCTATTTCTTGACTCGAGGTGTTATCAATAATGACCGCTGGAGTCGGACTGCTGGATAAGTATTCAACGAACGTCGCGAGGTCCGACGTTGCACCGTGAGTTTGCAGGGCGACTTTCCAGTTTGAAAGGTCGAGCGGTGCATAATCTGAACTGCTCAAGAGTTGTTTAGATGAATTTTTGAGGGCAACAACTGAAAATTTAGGAATTACATTGCTAGAACGGTGGGTCGAGAGTTGAGAAAGGAGTTCTGAACCGACGAGGCCTACACCGATAATCCCGACGTTGACCATGGTAAAAAGAGATGAACATGTGATGATAACTTTAATTAAAAGCTAATTGTTACAGAAATAGATTGATCGCAATAAATTTGATTGGTTGTCGAGATACATTGTCTATTATTGGTCATGTGATTTTATAGCCGGGATTCTTCCCAAAGTGTTTTACCCGAACATGCGCAAACCTTCTTCATATTTTCAAATGCGCCGGCGCTACGTGCAATTATCCCCGCAATTATCCCCGGTCCAGAATTACCATCAATCTTGCTTTGCACATTATCTCCCTTGCCAAGATCATCTTCTCTGTGAGAGATAACTATTGATCTCCCAATGACATCCCAAACCTTTATGCGACTACTTTCCACCACAAGGTCTCCCCATCCTTTCTCATCCACGAAGATGTTACCCAAATCCCCGACATGTCCCCTCTCAATATCTCCGTGTTCCGCGTTCTCCGGGTTATAATGACCTCCGGTGCTTGAAGGTCCTTCAGAAATGTCACCCAACTCATGAATATGTATTCCATGATATCCGGGCGAGATTCCTTGTACCGTGACATCAATAAGACAATTATTATCGTCAATTTGTACCATACGAATGAGACCCTGCGGTCTAATTTGTGGCATCGGTTGGTCTTTGTCTAGTGGGGTGTACGTGTAACTTTCCAATATGCATACAGAAGCTCCGGCATGATCACCTGAAGAGAAAGTACATCGTTTGAAGAAAGTCACGATTGTTTGCTGTGAATTGAAGTTGGAAAGAGAATGTACCTTTAATTGTGCCTTGTCCGCGAACAATTACAGTCTTTCCAGTCTCTTTCAGATGCCTTGACACTAACGAAGGTGGTGCTGATTGGAAAAAATAAAATAAATAAATGATGATAATAATTAAGACACTCGTGAAATTTATCAAGATGAATTTTCCCAACCTGTTCCTTCAACCACCACTCTTTGATCCTGAAGGTCAACGTCAAAACGATGAATGCCTAAAATGGTGTTGTATATTCGGTTAACTTTCTCTTTACAAATAAACCGCGAAAATAAGAATTACCTGGAATTTTTTCCAAGACGTTTCTGACGGATTCCACACACGATTCGCATTCCATTTTCACGGCATATTCCGTCTACAGGATCGTCAGAGGTTGCGAGTTTACAATAAATCCAGACATCCTTCTCTGTAAAGGGTACTTTCTACGTACCTTAAAAGGTGTATTCGCCAAGTGCGTAGTGGTCATTGCGTTAATGGTTCTTGTAAAATGATGTGCACCGTGGGAAAACTGAGTTCCTAAGAATTCCACTTCCTTTATTTGGTTAAGTCATGTGTAAATCTATAAACAATGAATAATAAACATTACACGTAATAGAGTTTCCTTGCATACAAAAAGAATAGAGAAACGCTTTACCTAATTCAAATTTTATTATCAATGTCGCATTGGGAAAATGATCGTAGCGTTTGTCTCTTACCGATCCCGCAATTTAATCTTTTTACGGAGAGGAAACGGGACGTCAAAATCTATCTTTCTGGCGCATTGGTACTACTTACTCGTATTCTTTAAATTTTCAATCTACGAATACTAAAATCTATTCATTTTATAATATTAGTTTGCTGTAGGTTGGTGGTTTTTCATTGATGCTGCTGTTCTTTCTAGCACCAAGAAAGATCTACCCGAAGATTCACCGGTAATAAGTTTTGCGGATTGGCTGTGTGGGATTTTTAGTACTCTGGGAATGATAATGTAGGTTACGGTTGGAGACCAAAGGGAAACATCGGGACTTCCTTTTCATTCAATCAAAATCAATTATGTACGCACTATTTGAAATAGATCTGCTTTTATACATTAGGAAATTAGGAAGATTCCCACAAAAAAAAAAAAAAATTTTTTTTCTTTCATTATTTCACTATCATGTATGTTAACGATGTGTATGATCCTGAATTCAATGTCTGTGTAGTGTTTGCTTTATCAACAAATCTCACCTGGTAGCTGACGATATTACTTATACCGGATCTGGAGTCGCAACAAGGGCTCGTACCTTATTATTTATTGGCTTTGCGTTGATGGCAGGTGGTCTGGCCGGATCTATGGTGTGTAGTTTTGTACATCCTATGCGAAATGATTTAAAAATCATTCGCAAATTTTAAATTCGTTTCTTGCATTAACCACATTTTATCGGGCATACGCATCAGACCCTATTAATCCTTAAACATGTCGTATCCGAGTATGAAACATACATTTATTTCGGAATCGCCGTTGTTGTACAGAATTTTTTAATCATGCTCAGGTTTGTTGTTGTGTTCTGTTCATAATCAACTTTGCTTTCCATGATGCGTGACTCATCGATCTTTTTCGCCTGCCCTTAGTTCCGCTTTACTCTGGATCGCGCGAGATACCGATAATGAATACAGTTATACTGAATTTCACTTGTAGCATTTTATTAAAAAATTGTACTTCCTACAAAGTTCCGCCGAGAACCACAATTTACTAAATGTTTTGTATTTTAAAGTTTTTTTTCTTTTATCAATTATATCTGTTACCACCAACAGGACTATAATAATGATTTAATTCAATAAAATGTTTCAGTATTCAATAAAGCTCTTAAAATGTGAGTGAATATATTTTATGACCGATTTTTATTCTATCGCCATATCGCTGTCTTCGACTGTCGATAGTCCTTCTATATTCATCTCTTCGTCTTCTAAACTCTCATCATTTTTTCTTTTTCTTTTTCTGCCATCATCATCCATTTCTTGAATCATCTTCAAGACAACTCCTTTTTCGTCATAAACTAACGTGCCAGCCTTCCACATTCCCGTTTTTAATCCAATCCTCTTGTTTTTTTCGTACTCTTTTTTTATCGCGTCTACATCTCCTTTCCAATCTTTATAGAGTTGTAGATTCTGCCTGCCTATGAGACGCATAGTCTTTACACGAAGATCTTGTGCTGACTTTATTATTATTTGTTATTATTATTGCCATTAGTATTGTTATTATTATTCGTTCATTCATTTATCGAATCATTGATTAGAAAACGGGAATCAGTCAGTGCGTCGTTGATGTTTTCAAAATAGATGTTTTTTTAACTTTAAATTACCCATTCCAGTAAAAATTCATCGGAAATCTCTTTGTAATGGCCGATGCCGTATTTTTGAATGCCTTTTATTAGTAGGTCACGTTCTTTCTCTGTCCATTTACGTTGCAACTGAGGAGTTAACGACTTTGGAGGTCGAAAATAGCTATTTTATAAAAGTCGAGGAATTGCGTGCTTTAGTATGCATTCAACAGCGTAAAACAACTTTGCTTGGGATTTAATCTTCTCACTCTTGATTTAATGTCCCGTCTGGATGTAAGATGTTTCTTGTAATTTCAAATTCGGGTCGAGTGCTGAACTTCAATCGCATTCGTCTAACCCATTCTTGCTTCCTTCTAAGTTTCTCGGAACTGGTTTTAACCACATTTGTCACTTCTTGTTGTGAGTCTGGTATATTTATGATCGTTTTCGACTGAGATTCCGGTGTAATGGTGGTCTTGGGTGAGGTTTGGGCCGGTGGAGGCGTACGTGCTGTTTTTGGAAGGACCAACTTTATTATTGTTGGTGGTTTAGGTGACTGAGAAGTCGGCATTTCAGGCGAATTCTTCGGAATCGAGGAAAATTCAGGTTTCTCATTTCGGAGTGAGGTGGAAGGCGTCGGTGCTTCGTCCTCTGTTGTATTGTAATTCTCGTCCCAAGGAAAAATATAGGAATTGGAACCCATGTCTAAATGTCTATCGTCTTCATTGGGATGATCAATAATAAAATCTATGGCAAAACTCATTTCTATGTTGGGATTTGGGCTACCTAAGAAATCCAATATTCGTAATCGCGTGAAGATAAAACAACGTTTGGCAATATTATTGATGAAAGAGGCGCGTTCAAGAGCTCAGGTCATCACCAATTGCCTTGTGCCACATCGCGTCACGAAGTTTGTGTCGCACAATCATTGTGTTCAATCAGAATTGTGCAAGTTTTGTGTTACACAAATTATAGTTTGGACAACATATTTTTAGATTAACCTTTCTATAGTAACTCGTTATAAATTTTGCTTAGCTTCCTCGGATTTCCTTCGTACAAAAAAAAAAACGAAAAAATTACCGTCACCGGTATCCGTTGAGCATGGATACATTGAAAGATGTCCCTGAATTTTTTGAAACAATACTGGATGAGTCTTTGACCGCCAGAACGGAAAGCTTAGGTATATGTTCATATTTTAGCAAATCTCGAGTGTTTTGTGATTTTTGTTTTAATGTGAAAGAATGAGCGCTCGCTCTTAATCTTTGTTCGGAGTGACAAACAATTCTTTTTTGCTTTAGCTTCCTTCCGAGAACTTGGTCCTCCTGACCTTTGTCACATCACCAAAGCCAACGCTAAGCCTGGTGTCAAGGAGGTAAACTTGCTATTACTGTTCGGACAGATGTAATTTTGTTTTGTTCAGACTTTGTAACATTTTTGATTTATTACAGGTCGGTTCTTATCATTACGTGTCGGGAGTCGATGCCTCTTCTTCGGCTACCTTGGCAGCATACCTAAATTCGCTGACTTACGCATTGGTAATTAATGATTTGGATCGTTGGGTGAATTCGCGTTCTCAGGAACAAATTTCGGACATACAATGATATTTACATGCTCATTTTTTAAGGAAGAAACCCATGCTTGGTTTTCCAAGTCATCATCCTGGAGGATTCGTTCGGGGGTGTACTGGTAATTACGGAGTCCAATAGAATCTTGAATATCTCAATTATCTGTTATTTATTTATTGAATTCTTGTTGTAGTTGCTTCAATGCATTCTCACGCGTTGATGTGCGTGTCGAAGTAAAGATTCCCGGTGGTGTTGAAAGCTACATAATGGATGCACGTGGTGAAAGGTAATATCGGATGGCCTTATAGTTATTTTCCGATAATTAAATGGATTTATAGAAAATAATATGAAAACATACAGACATGAGGCAACACCGGAAATTTGGCAGGAAACCTATATTTCAGCAATCTTGCGCTCCATACTCTACTCAGACGACGCTAACTATAGGTTGGCCGGTTTCAGAAGAATAGATCCCATCCCTAACATAGAAGCGGAAGCGCATTTCTTGGAAGCTGCTGAGAGCCTTTTTTTCAAAGGTTTGTGAACATTCGAAAGTTACATCCTTTTTATCCCTTTTTACTCATAACGTCCTTCCGATAATTAGGATGGCAGTTGGGTTCGGATCCAGAGATTCAAGTCGCAACTGTTGTTAGCAACCACCTGACCGCGGGAATCATGAAATATTTTAGTGAGAATTTCCGGTTCGAACGTGCAGTAAATCTTTTTGAAAAATATATCCTTACAATGTTTGATGGATGACCATCGCATCTTTGCATGATAGATCTTCGTTGAATATTTAATCAATAGAATTTTTCCATAACTTAAGCTTACTGTATTCAAAAGACCCAGAGGTTGCCTCGTTACTAGCTAAATCATATATTGGAATGGGTAGGAATTTGATTTTCTTTCTGTTCATGTTATCGCGCAAACCAACGAACATCTCATGATATATCGCTCTTTTATGGCAGACGAAGAAATAAAGGCAGTTAACATCTTGTACGATGCCTTAAAGAAGAGCCCAATGAGCTACGCTTTGTTGCATGTCCAAGCAGATTTCTTATTGTCAAAGGTAAATAATGTATTACCGCGAATGGTATTATAGATCATTTAGCCTAGCAGCAATTTCTCGTTTTCGACATTGCTCTTCATTGTAATATCATCATGACAGGATAAGAAAGATTATGCTTTGAAGCTTGCTAAGCAAGCGGTAAATTGTGCTCCCTCCGAGTTCGTCACCTGGGCTAAACTGACCGAGGTGTATATCGAACTCGGCGATTATGAATCGGTACGTAATTTGCGTTTTGTGTTGTCATAAACCGTTTCTAGCTTATTTATCTAAATATTTCTCCCAAAATATTTATTATTACAATCAAGGCATTATTAACTCTGAATTCTTGTCCGATGTTCACATACAACGAAAGAGATATGCATCGTATGCCAACACCAGCCAAGACACACCTTCCAGTCAAACAAGATATTATTAATGCTGGACTTTATGAGGAAGATAGTGGCCGAGATAATGAAGTAAATTCCTTTAATTTTTTGGTTTTTTTTTTTTTTTAGAACGAGATTTTATGCCTTTTTTATGAAAAACTGACATTACCTATTCGAATATAAAGGCTGATGTTGCCCTTTTGCGTTTGCCCGCGCCATCCCTTCGCGGCACCTTTTCAAAGGCTTACGCATTGCTAACACGTTTGGTTGCCAAGATTGGGTGGGATGAGTTGTTAAAATGCCGATCATCGGTTTTTGTGATGGAAGAAGAATATCGTATGCAGAAGGCCGCTGAAGAGGAACGGAAAAATCAAAAGACCATGGTTGATGACAACTCTACATCCAGAGATGAAGAGAGTGCAAACGTAAAGACGAACGGCTTGAACGATTCATCGCGATCTGTACCTACTGTTGCCGCATCTAATGATTCTAACGAAGATCCGGACAAAAAGGATTCAAAACGTTCTTCGGATAGCCGAGAAAATAAGACACCCTCAGAAACGGTTGGTGAAGTTCCTGGGGCTGGTGTCGAAGAGGAGGCCAATGGAAGACAAGATGTGAAAAGTGAAGATGAAGAAAGCGAGGTTTATCATTCAGCACCTGTTGACGAGCGATCCCTTGATTCTGACACGTTGGAAGAGGTTAATCTTAATGAGGAAAAAAACGAAAAAAATGATGTTTCTTCTCAAACTCCGGTGATAGAGTTCAAAGGTCCCGAATTGGAGAAACCCTTACAAGCTGCTAACGATGATAAGAATGAAAGCCAAAGCATGCATGACGAACAAAATAAGGTTACGTGAGCTTTGAAATGTCAAGTTGTTTCCTCGTATTTATCTAACTTATTTTCTATTTCAGGACGTAAAGAAAGAATACTCCTTTTCATTTAAAAATAAACGGCTTTGTGAGAGGTTCGTAAAAATGCAATGACATTTCTTCGCTTTGATCATATTAGTAAAATGCACTCGTTTATTTTCATAATCTCTTAAAGATGGCTTGATAATCTTTTCATGGTTTTATATGAAGTAAGAATTGTTTAGTTGTGTTTGGTCTTTTTTATTTGTAAAAAGATTTTGAGGCATCCTTATTTTAATCAATAGGATTTAAGGGTGTATACAGTCTGGAGGTCAGAGGTTTCTCATTACAGGAATCATCAGATGTCTTATCGTAAAACTGGTACCGAATGGGAGATCTTAGGTGATCTGGCGGCAAGGTTGCACCGTAAGGTTACAATATCGAACATTAGTTTTACTTGAGATTTCCTTGTTGGATATTTTTGAGCAACTTCTAACCAAAATTTACTTATAGGAGGACGCCAAAGAAGCTTATAAAAATTGTCTCGATCATAAATTTTCGGCAAAGGCATGGCTGAGACTGTTAGAATTTAATGCAGAAGAAAGGGAGGTTAAGAACACTTTGACATCTGTCGTCAAATTGGCAGTCTATCACGAAAGATGGTACCACGAAATAATTGTAAGTGTTTTGATCGTTAATTTGTAGACGTCAAACTTTTTCGTGTTTATACAGTGCTCTTTTTTTATTTCAAAAAAATTTTTTTCCACCAGTATCCAACAGCCATCGCTTATAATCTTAACAAGCTGATTCGGTCCGAGGGACTTTCGAAGATACGTAATAATCTCATTTCGATGAATCTGTCTCCTCCAGTATCAAAGTTGGTTGGGAGGTATCTTACATTTGCCGAAAATTTTAAAATTCCGGGATCGGATTTCTAATTCATATAATTTCCAAAGTCTAATGAAGTCGGCAAAAAAAATGCCGTCACAAGCTGTAATAATACTTCGGAGGTTGTATTGACTGATAAAAAAAATTTCACTTCTAATAGGGATAATGCGGTTGGATAGTTGGGGTGTATTTAATTTTTGTATGAAATTGGTTATATCAAAAAAAACTTTCATATTTTTATGTACATCATTTTTGGAATTGTATTTTGACCATTTTACAAAAACTGAAATTTATATTCTTTTATACTAGCTTATATACTACAATTAATCCCATTAATAATAGAATGAATATAAATATATTCATGTAAGTTGAATGGGTTAGGTATTTATAATAAAAATGAATAAATTTATTAATTTTTATTAATTTTTCGTTTTAAATTTTTTAATTTGATAATTTTTATCTATATATATCAGTCATTTAACATATCAATTATCTAATAATTTGGCAAAATGACATAAAAACAAAAAATTTGCTAATAAATCAAAAATTATCATATTGATTTTTATTATATACGTACTCAAATAAAAAATTTTTATAATTTAAAAATTTTCTTATCAATTTTAAATTGATATTTAAATAAAATAAAATAATTAAAAATATTATATATCATAATTATAAATTTTTTTTTTATCTTGTTATTTTGTTATTTATTTATTTTTTTTAACAGGCAGCTTACATCTTGTTTATTGAAATTATTTTGTTATTTATTTTATTTATTTGTTTTTTTTTGTATATACACATTTGTATTCTTTTATTTTTAATTTTTTTTTTAATAAAAATTATTAAAATATATATATATATGTAATATTAATTTATAATATATAACTTTTGAGATAATTTGCAAGCTTGAATCTTATTAAAATATTTAAAATCATAATTTTATTCAATAAAAAATTTTTTTACTTAATTTGAATATATTATATAAATTTATTTAAATATATAATTATAAATTTTATTAAATATTAATTATTATAATTGTTAAAAACTCTTTCCGCTGATCCTTTTGCCAACCCAAAAAACAGACGTTCTCAAAAGATTTTTTGTTTTTATAATAATAAAGTCTATACACTTTTCTTAAAAACAATATTGATTTTAACCAGCTGAGCGAGCAGAAGCTACCACTTGTTTTATTTTTCTTTTTCAAAACACTTTTCTTGTTTATTTTTATGACTAAATACAAGAAACCCATCTAAAAAGTCTATGGCAAGAACACCTTTATAGGAAGAAAACTGACAAGAAAAAATATCCTCCAAAGATTTCCAAAAAATTTAAGAATCTAGAGAAACAAGAATAAAGAAGTTTCCAGTTTTTCCATTATTTCTTTGGCTTCCTATTTCTTTTTTTTCAAGCATGCTTCCTTTTTTCTGATTTTTCTGGAGAATTTTGCCTACCTCAATTTAACTCTGAATTTTTTGGTCACATCAGATTTCCTGAAAAATGATTGGTCAAGGTCACAGATTGGTTGATCACGTCAGCCACAGAAAAAGTAAACAAGACATGTACTCCTTACATGTTCCCAATTGTGCAACATCAAACCGATGATGTAATTGGTTCCTGAAAAAGTTGGACAGTCTCAAGTTGAAGTTTTTTTTGAGGACAGGAAGTAGCAACAAAATCTAGGTCCTATTTCAATCTGGTAACAAGTAGAAGTACTAATATCTATTCCAGAAATGATTGGAGAAAGGGATCTTAAAACTATCCATTGGTTAAGTAAAGCTATAATTCCAGAAGACATGGCTTGGGAGAGAAATCAATAATAGAAAACCAACATTCTTTCTAATTAAAAGTCTTCAAGTATAAAGTTTCAAGAAATACTCTTCTGAAAGTACCTTTAAATGTTCTTGGATATCGATTACTCCATTGAAAATTAAATAGTCTAACTGGCCACAGGTGGTGATAAGTAGGAATCCATAAGGAGCTTGGATTTTAAGTTCACTAAGATAACCTTTTCAATGATAGTTAGAATAGATGATAGCTTTTTTTTCTTTTCTATTTGTCAAAAAATTCCTTTTTTATTCCTTTTCCCTCCTGTGTAGTTTCTACAAAAGAGGAGTGATACAATTTGGATTTATAGTCGTGACTGTGGAGGTAATGCTGATCCTATCAGAAATTTGGGGAACAATACATCACTCCCATAAATCGCATCTAGAGGTTTCGGCTAAAGACGGGTGAGTTGGGTCGAGGAAATTTGTACTTTGCATGTATTCTTGTGCATGTAATGGTTCTTTATGATTTAATAAATAAACAACACCAACCTGATTGTGAGATTAAAAAAAAATAAAATAAAATAAATTTTATTAAATATAATCAAAATATATACTTTACTAAACAAGAAAACCAAGTGTTAATTATATTATATACTATAAAAAAAAATTGCAAATTTTTTTAATATAGACAATAGTATAATTAACTATTGAATTATAACAAGTTTAAATTAAATAATTAAAATAAATTAAAATGGTAAATAAAATAGTTTTAATTAAAAATTCTTTTATTTTAAAGTTAAAGAAATATTATATAAATGGATTATAAAATAAAAAAAATAAGATTTAATTATAATTTATATAACAATATATATTAAAATCTTAAAAATCTTAAAAATTAAATATAGCAATTTTAAATTTCAAAATATCATCTTATTGTTTATTAATATTTATAAAAAAATATAAATTAAACTTATAATACTATATAAAAATTTTTATAAAAATTTTTTAAACAAATTATTAAATTATTAAATAGTTTTTATCAATTTATAAATTAACTTAAAACTAAAAAATTATTTAAATTATCTAATATTTTTAATATTTTTCCGATGTTAAGGTGAGACATGTCTCATTATCTTTATTAATACGTAATTATTATTATTACATGGTTAATTTTAAGATATAAGATATATGAACAAAAATTGTATATATTCGTCTACCACCTATTGTAGTAGATATATTTCTAATAAAAAAACCCTTGAGCAGGGAAAAAGTAAGAAAGGAA